AAGTGTTTGTTGGTGTTGTTGTGTATTTGTTGAATAATCCAAAAGTAGTCCAAAGAGCAAAGCAAATTAAAGTAAAGTATAGCAATGCACGACGTGTAAAAAAGCAAAGAATTATATCTAAAACATGTACGAGTATCACTGAGTCACATATGATGAAAATGATAAAATATTAAAGGGTTGACCAGGGAACAAAGCACTGAATGACCACTCTGGTGACCAGTGGTCAACTACAAAAACAATCATCAGCAAGTTCAATTCAATTCAATTGTATTTATATAGCACCAAAACACAACAACAGTTCAAGGCACAAGTGAATCAGGTTATAACCAGACGGAGCTCCTGATGCCAGAGACTTGGAGTCTAACTGTATTAATTGGAAGTTAACTTTGTGCCTCATCTTTGAATTCTTTGGCTGTTAAACAGGCAGAAATACACAGAATATTTAATCATTCAGTGCAAATGTGAAATGCACGTCATATTTGTCTGTTCTCTTCTCTGTTGGACAGTGAATGATCCTCCAGATTGTAGTAAAACTTCACAAGCGGCAGGATGCTTATTCTCTCACAGACTCATCGTCTGAAACCGCGAGACAGGAAATCCTCCGCTCTCCTTCTTTTCTGTCTCTGTTTGTCTGAATCTGTGTTTCAATGAATCTTTTTGTCTCCACGGCTCTCCTTATTTTGTCCAGTTTTCATTTGCCCCTCTGTCGCTTTATCTCTAGTAATCTTTTCTGGCTCGATAAATGGATGGGAAATAACATAACTAAATGATGTGAGATATTTAAAAGTACATCAAGTAAAATCAAAACAAAGCATTAAACGTGTGATGCGACTGAGTTCATGGTGAAGAAGTCAAACTACATTAGGCAAAAATAAAGATTATCGCTGTTTCTTCTCAAACATGTAATGGAAACAGCATTATGGTTTTGTCCCAATATAGATTAGATACACAAAGTCTTCATTTTTGGCCCAATCGGTCTCTGACAAACATCATCAGAGAGTCGGAAACACTCAGTCATGAAAGCTGCGACAACATGACTAAACTACCAAACTTCATGCATCCAATAACACGAAAGGTCAGAGAAGAAAGAAGCCAGACCAACAAATAAAGATAAACATGAAGTTTATAAAAGGGACAAAAAGGAGACTGGAAAGATCTCATTCTTCCATCCGTCCCCACAGAGAGAAGGTGAAAGGGCTGGTTCATGAGTCATGTGCCCTCTGCTGCCTCTGATATCAGCCTGAAAAAAGTCCAGACGAGTACCAGCACAACCCAGAGTTGGACAGGACAGGAGTATCTTATAGCATGTTGTTCCAATCTTCTCCCCAAGATTTACTGGCTCCACAAAAGTTGCATGTATGAGATATGATCTGATTTCAGTAACTTGACAAATTTTCCACTGACAGTGAAGAACAACCTTCCAAGCTGACTCATCAAATTTAGTTTACTTATTCACCGAGGGAGGCTTTGTAGTTGCGTCATGACATCCATGTCTACTTCTTTAACGTTGTTAAAATAATGAGAAACAGTTTTTCCAGAACAAAAGATGCATAAAGTAACCTTTGTTTTATCCGAAAGTTTTGTATTGGCTGCTGTCCTTTCATTTCCTGTTTTATTTTGTAATCTTTGGTTCTCAAGTTTCCTGTTTAGTTTTACTTCTTCTCAACTTTTTTCTAATTCCTACAGGGTAAGCTTTGTAGACACTTCCCCTTGGAAGTTTTCCCCTGCTCACAGAATAAGCTGCTGATTTTGGAAGGCTCAGAAAAGCAGCTTGGCTTTCTGAATCAGTAAAAATGCCCAAGCCTATTGTTCAGCGTGAAGCTGAAGAGATCAGGGGAGGAAGTTTAGCAGAGTAGTAGCTCAAACACGCTGGTGAATTTTCAAAATAAAAGACCATGTACAGACTGATTTCTCTGGTTCTAAGGCTCTTCCACCGTGATTTGAAGCAAAGGAGGAAACAAAACCACACTGGAGATCTTATATTTACAATGGCTCCTAAATATAAAGACATAATGACACAGTCAGGGTGGATTGGGACACTGTCATTTTAAAGAAGAAAAGCTGCCATTGCTGCCTTCACCATCTGAATATGGAACTTCTCAAACTGGAGGTTATTAGAACGTTGGGCATATGACTGGATTTACTGTACCTGAGGGAGCTGGGGCATGCCCTGGTCATGCCACACACAAACAGGAGAGCTGGAGAGATTTTACCTTTGCATCTGAATCATAAACATGAAGCCTGGCTGCTCTGCATGTAACATGCCACCATGTCACCGAGTATTGCATGAGGTAAACTGGATGCTATAATTGACTGTTGTGTCTGATTATCTCAGTTGTTTTCAGTCAGTTCTGTTCTGTGTACGGCCACAGTGAGAGCTTAGTTTGCACCGCCGGTAATAAGTCAGTCTGTCACTGACTCTAGTCACAATATTTATGGACAGAGTTTCTAGGCTCAGCCAAGGTTTGGAGGGTTCAGTGGTCTCAGAGTCTTATCTCTGCTTTTTTTGCAAATGATGGTTGTGTTGGCTTCATCAAAAGACGACCTCCAACTTGCAGTGGGGTGGTTTGCAACTGAGTATCAAATGGCTGGGATGAGAAATGGTCCTCAGCTGGAAAAGGATGGAGTGCCCACTTCTGTTTAGGGATGAGTCGTTTCCCCGAGTTTCTGAGTTTAAGTACTTGCTTAAGTACCTGTTTAAGGTCTTGCACCCAAGTGAAGGGAGAGTGGAGTGAGAGATTGACAGATGGATTGGTGTAGCATCTACAGTAACATGAACACTGTACCGGTGTGCTGGTGAAGACAGAGCTGATCACAAAGATTTTATGATCTCCAGGTAGTGATTGAAAAAACAGTGCCCTCTCTCACTGTCCCTCTCCCCTTCTGTTTTTCTTTTCCTTCATCTTTCTTTCTCCCTTTCCTATCCCTCAGTCATGTCTGTCCCGTCTGTAACAACTGAAAATAAAATAAAATAAATAATAACAACAAAGGTCGATCAAATG